GGAAGGAAGGAAGGAAGGAAGGAAGGAAGGAAGGAAGGAAGGAAGAAGCTAGAGTTGTAGAACAAAGGAAGCTAGGAGAAAGACATTAAGTTTCTCAGTTCCATAGGCCAGAAATCTGAGGTTTAGGTATCATCTGGCCTCTGAAACTGTGAGAAACTTAATGTCTTTCTCCTAACTTCTCTTGTTCTACAACTCACAGGCATGATGCTCCAATATTAGGCTTCACGTATCCCTTTTTCTTTATCTGTAGTGTTGTAGAAATTATTTAATCTCAACCCAAGGTTTCTACCCTGCCTTTGATCATTTAGTTCTCAAATAAAAAATACATACAACCTTTATATTTACAATAAGCCTTAGACAGTACAAGATCTGAAGAGATGCCTGGCCTCTTTTTGATATTATCAACTATCCTATAGATAACCCCTAATTATTACTTACATAAACTTACTATGTTTCATCTGGGCTGCTCTTAACACCAATTGATCAGCCCTCAGGGCCATGTTTTCTTGACTCCTAACCCATGGTGGCCTCTCCTTCCTCTTCCTGCACTTTCTTCTTCCTTGTGATCCCTCTCCAACCCCCAAGCCTGGGAAACCTAAACCCCATCTATGTCATCTATTGACTGTTGGCATTTTTATTTACCAATCATAAATAACTTGGGGCCAAGGTGTACATTTGGACTCTCATCTCTGTGAAAACCAGGTCTTGAGTGCCTGTACTTAGCGTTACAATAGACAGCAAAAGACCAAACCTCAGCAATGCCCCTTTTAGTTCAATAAAAGGCTCTTGTCTCTCACATACAAATTGAATACAATTATAAAAATTATGAAAATTATAAAGTATAGTATATACTTATAACATCCAGTCCATTATATTTGGCAATTTAGATCAAGTATTTTATCATTTATCCTAATTTAATGAGTTTACAATTCTGTACCTCAATCATATTTGATTTTAACTTGTATAGCTATCTGAAAAACCATCCTTTTACATCTAGAACACCTTCTTTAATGCTAAACAACTTAAGTTCAAATGTAAGACTATAACTAGTCTTCAACCCTGTCAAAGATTTAAGAAGGAATATATATATGAGTATGCAGGAATGTAGCTTCCAAATTTAAACAATTGGCAGAGACAGCTGACTGCCTGGACAGTCCCCAATATTCCTTATAACATTGAAGCATCTATCTTCAGCATTCTGGCCCAGAACATCTGACAGACCTTAAGTGAAGCAGGAATTATGAAGAACAAGCTTACCCTGTCTTGGCAGAGTTTAGCAGTCAACTATCCTGTGTCCATTTGTCCTTTTTGGACAGCATTCTGTTTGTAGATAAAATTAGGTCATTTCATGCCCAGGGGCTAACTTGCCACAGTTGATGCAACTCAACATGGAGGTACTGATGCTCATCACCTTCCTTAAAGTGGAATGGGGGTACTGCCAGGAGTAGACATGTCACATAGTCAAACGATCTTATAATAGTGAAATAACATTAAATGCCATATTCTGTGGATCTCTGATGCTTTTGAGCTATTTGAGCTAAACATTGATTATTTTTAGCTATTTACTATTTGAATAATCTTGAAAACATTTTATTGTAATTATATAAATTAGAATCTAACATGACCATGAATTTGACTATCTGACTATTAAGTTGCATTACTTAATTATTCTAAACAGTTTGCAGTAGCAGCTATTAAAAGAACTGGGTCTAAGCCTTGTATTCTTAAATGAGTTGCATAGGCACAATGTCTAAGAGTAATAAAATTAATTTTAAATTTCATATCAACATAGAAAGATTTATACCAATAAAAACCTTAAACTGTATCAATATACAAATTCTGTACCAATGTAAGAAGATATAACTTCAATTCTGCATCAGAATGTAAAGAGTTATACCAATGTAAGATTATGGCTATAAAATGCTTTAACAGTAAATTTAATAATCCATCCATATTTGTCTAATTTGCTATAATATTACTATATTCCCCTTTTTTCTATTCAACCCCCTTCCCTTTACCTAAAAAAGACAGAAGGATAGAAAAGAGGAAAGGAGAGATATAAATCCCTGAGTCTAAGATTTCTTTTAGTTTCCTCTCTGTCCAAAACTACAATTATTTGTAAATTATCCCTTAAAATGACAACATATCTATAATTCATAAAATGATGAAAACCATCCACCCCAATTTAAAAGATTAGGAAGACGATCTTCTTATGATTGTTTCTTGCATAATTGGGGTAAAGAATTCCTGCTTGGGGCCCAAGGGAAAAAATAGTTTTTTAAAAGCTAGCTGTAGTGTTTTTGCCCAGTTTCTGCATTATCCAGTCTCAGTGTTGTCTGTCCAGTCTCTGTGTTGTCTTTCCAGTCTATGTATTGGCTGTCAAGCCTTCATGTGATCAATCACTTTGACTAGCCCTTTTGAAGATGACTTGCATGCATATTTTGGAGAAATCAGCAACTGAGACAGTCTGTGAGAGTGAATCACCTGGGCTGCTTGCACTGTGAAGACGTTCATGTCTCAGCTGATAGGCTTTCCCAGGTCAGATCTAATTTTTATAAGTTTTGTTAGTAACCATGTTTTTTCATTCTATGTAGATACATAAGCATAATCACATACCCATCTTAAAACTACTCCAAGTTTCCATTCTAATGTTAACACAGCCTTATAATATATTGGTTGGCCTAGTTCCTCAGTTTTTTTTTAGTAACTCAATGTCAGCTACTGTTGTTCCTTTTTCACCAACATTAAGAAAATTGAGAGTTAACAAAGCATTATTTAGTCTGTTCCTGGGGGGTTCCTTCTCCATTTTTGTTTAATAAGCAACTCTTTTAAGGTACAATTGGCTCTTTCTATAACTCCTTGTCCTGTGTGATTATGTGGTATACCAATAAGATGCTTTATATTATAATATACAAAGCATTGCTGTAACTTATTGGATACATATGTGGGAACATTGTCGGTTTTGATTTGTGCAAGTATCCCCATAATTGCCATTATTTCCAATAAATGTGTAATTACACAATCAGCCTTTTCAGAACTTAAAGCAGTTGCCCATTGAAATCCTGAGTATGTGTCAAGGGTATGGTGTATATACTTTTGTTATCCAAGTTCTGCAAACTGAAAAACATTCATTTGCCAAATGTCATTTCTTTTGGTACCACTAGGGTTACTACCAGCAGGTTTGGTTGTATAGAGAACATGTAGAACTCTTGGCAACAAGACATCATTTTTTTTGCCATGTGATGGAAATTTTTCTTCTTTAAACCTTTCCCATTAACATGTTTCTCATGAAATTTTAAGGCTTCTAACACATTTCCTATTAGTAATTGGCCAGTTTCATCATTTCCTTGAGCTAATGGACCAGGCAAACCTGTATGAGAGTGAATATGAATATGAGTAATATATAATGGATAGTTTCTACTTCTAATGACTTGTTGAAAATGTATAAATAATGAAGTTAATTCTGAGTTATCAGGTACAAACGCAGCTTTTTCTATATGCAAAACAACTGTGTCTGCATATAAAGAATCAGGAATTATATTAAGACATTCAGAATAATCTAATAATACCTTAAGGATAGCATACAATTCTGATTTTTGAACCAATGTATATGGACTTTTGATCATCGTGCTTATTTTATCTGACTTATGACCTGCCATCCCCATCTTGTTTGCATCAGTATAAAATGGTGCCTCTGGCATTGTTCTCTTTACTATACCTGGAAGAATCCAATTAGCTCTTTTTATAAACTGTATACATTTGCTTTTCAGATATTTGTTATTAATTTCACCCAAGTAGTTACTACAAGTTATTTGCCAATCTTCATTGATCACCCATAATAACATAATCTCAGTATTTGTAAGAGGTACTACAATTTGGGCTGGATCTTTTTCCTGACAATTGATGTAGTTTTATTCTTTTATAATTAATTCAGAAATCTTTTCTATAATTTTTTACTTTGTTCATGAGCTATGAAAATCTATTTCATAATACTATCTTCCTTTTGCACAATGAGCCCAGTAGGAGAATGATTTGAAGATAAAATGACCAGAATACAATCAAGTTTAGGATTGATTTGATCCACATATGCCTCTTTCAGTCCTTGTTCTACAAGAGTCTAAATCTTTTTTTCATATGAACACTGGTCACTGGACTAGTAATAATGCTAATCTAGAATGACCTCATTGTAACATACATGTGCAAAGACCCCCATTCCAAAAAGGCAACCACAGTTTCCAGTAATTATTATTTGCTCTATTTTTTAGGAGAGGTCACAATTCAACTACAATCACTGTTAACTACTGAATTGGATGATTCAGACCTCCTCCATTCATATGTGTAAATAATGAGCTGAGCCTTCCCCATCCCACTCATAATATTCTTAATGGGAGAAGAGAAGGTGTACATCTACAAAGTGACAGTACAGCCCAAGCTTCACCTTTAGCACAGTGCACTACTCCTTTCTGCTTTGCTGAATAATGGGGTTTTTTGTTGTTGTTCTTCCAGTTTCGAAACTGCATTTTACAGCTCTTTGGAAAGAAGGTTGATGATAGCTCTGAACTTTCCAGCACCTCCAAGACAGAAGTCTCATCTGTCTCTTCAGTGTCACCTGCATAAAGTCTGCCTCCAACCTGTCCCATCTGCCAAAGCTTTGGTCACCTCTTACCTCCCTTCTCATCCATTCTTGTGAAATAAACATAATTTCTCCTTGCTCAAACCAACAAAGTCCCAGAGATGTCTACAATTTGAGGTTATCTAAGTTGCTGGGTGTTCAGGCACCAGACCTGGAAGGAATACAATGTAGGCAAAGAGACCAGAACATATGTTTTTTTCCACTTTTAATCCAGTCCCCATGTCTGTAGATATTATGAAAAGAGCATGGAAAACTGGAAGGAGAAGGCAAGTTGGCATCTGCATGTATCTCACTGGGCTTGCAGTTACAGAATTAAGAAAATGAGAGCAACAAAGTAGTTTTCTAAGACGTCTTACTGGGTGCCCTCGACAACTGAAAGGAAGGAAGAAATTCAGATGAATGGCACTTCTTGGCCTTCAGTGTCCATCTGATGGAGGCTTAGCATCCTTTAAGTCTGGTCTCCACTTAAAGGGGATCCAGGCTTGCCAGTCAATAATAGAGATGGCATGCCGCTTCTGCCAGGCCAAGGTCCCAAGCCCAATGATCATAAATACAATGAAGATGCGCAGGCGTGAGTTGAGCAAGGGCAAGGGGCAAGAACACAATGTAGAGACCATGACCAAGAGGATAGTAGTCAGAGTGAGAAGCAGGCTTATGAATCTGAACAAAAAGTCCTTGGGACGGGTTCTGAGGCTAGCCATCATTTCCAGTTGGGTAGCTTGCTGTAGAGTTTCTAGCTTGGTTATTCTGCTCTTGAAAGTCTCCATTACATCCTGCAGGGAACATACACACATATACTCACCAGAAGTCAAACAGAAATGTGCTTATCTAATCTAGTAATTTATTTGCCTAGGGGTGTTCAAGAAGTACTGTTAAGATGTTTTTCTGGTTTTTTTTCTTCCTTGTTTGTTTATTTATTTATTTATTTATTTATTTGAGACAAGATCTCACTGTATAGTTCCAGCTGGCCTGAAACTTGTTAGATAGACCAGGCTGTTCTTAAACTCACAGAGATCTATCTGCCTCTGCCTCCCAAGTCCTGGGATTAAAGGCATGTGCCATCATACCTGATGAGTTGAATCTTTTAGGAGAGATGGGAAGAACCTGTTGGATATGCACAGTAGAGACAGAATGATGGGCACTTCTTGGCCCTCAGTGTCTATCTGATGGAGGCTTAGCATCCTTTAAGTCTGGTCTCCACTTAAAGGGGATCCAGACCTGCCAGTCAATAATAGAGATGACATGCCACTTCTGCCAGGTCAAGGTCCCAAGCCCAATGATTTATAGGTCACAGACTCCAGGGTATGGCTCAGTGATTGCCCCTACAAGATGAGAAC